CTGACAAGGCTGTTAAAGGGGCAGCAAGTTTTCCTGAAAGTTAGCTCTGAATAACTGTGGCTTCACATTGTTGATTTGTGTGCCTTGGCCCAACAGCCGAGCCCACAGGAACCCTTCCAAGGTATTACAGGTTGGAAGGACTGCTCTATAGACTTTCCAGAAGAGTTTCCGAGCTAACCTGATTGATTAGCGTCCCACATTCTCATAGCCACCCCTAGCCGGCCAGGAGTCGAGATGCAGGAAAACCTGATTATAATCTGGAAACAATGAGAAACTCAAACATCTGCAGGGTGAAGGAAGTCTCCCAGATGAGAGAAGCTGGCTTCTTCTGATTGGTGATTATTTTAGGAACAAATCCCTTTACACAAAAGTCCCCAAACAGGCTGTAGTTGATAAAATGATAGATTTCCAAATAGAATGCTAGGAAGAGAAAATAGTCAAATGAGTGGTAATATGCTGAATACTCTTGACTCTTAATTAATTAATTAATCCCAGTGTTCCCTAAATCTAGAGTTTGCTTATAAAAAAACAACAGAAAACCACAAACATCCACAGTTTAAGAGTCAGTGGTAGATCAATTACCAAGGCATTTTGTTCGTAATTTCCATACCTACTATCTGCCCAGAATTTAAGGCATTGAAAAAGTACTGGACTAGGAAGCAAAAGACTTGGGCTTGAGTCCCACTTCTACTACTTGAAAGTGTATGACCTTGGGTAAGTCATTTCACATCTTAGGAGTCTCTATTTGCTCATCTGTCAAGTGGAAATACTCAATTCAATAAAGCATTTGTTACATTCCCATTCTATGTAATGCTTTGTGCTAGGCACTCTGAGAGAGACAAGGAGCAAGGACCAGTCTGCTGGGACAAGCAGGGTATCATAAGCACATGAGTTAGAACGATTAAGTAAAGTCCAAACAGAGAGACCTGAGAGCTTTAAATGGAGAGGAATCTATGAGAATCAGGTGAGATAATGCATGTGAAGGCATTTTGTAGAAGTTGAAGCTCTAGACAAATTAAGGTATTGAGACTATTGCTGTTGTGAATAACAAAAATAGCCCCTGTGTTTCAAGAACTAGATGGCAAACAATGAGGAAAATAGAAAACAGTATACAATTACATCTCAAAAGATTAGACAATTGGGCTGAATCCAATAAGATCCATCTGATGAGGGAAGGCAGCATGATACAGATGAAAGCACTGGCTCTGGAATCAGGGGGCTCAGGTTCAAATCCTACTGGTGAAGCTCACCACCTATGGGACCCCAAGCAAGTCACCTATCCTTCCTGGACCTCAGTTTACTAATCTATATGATGAAAGTATATGGGGCAGGTAGGTGACACAATGGGTAGAGTACCAGGCCTGGAGTCAGGAAAACCTGACTTCAAATCTGGCCTTAGACGCTTACTAGCTGTGTGACCCTGGGCAAGTCACTTCACCCTGTTTGCCTCAATTTCTTCATCTGTAAAATAAACTGGGGAAGGAAATGGCAAACCACTCCAGGATCTTTGGCAAGAAAACCCCAAATGTGGTCATAGAGAGTCAGACACAGGTGAAATAATTGAACAACACAAAAAACACAACACTGAAGGTGTTGAACTAGATAGCCTCAGAGGTCCCTTCCAAGTGTGGGGTAGACTCTAAGCAAACTAAGAACACAGAGAAAGGAATTAACATTGGAGGATGATGTGGTAGCTGAAGGTTCTATGGAAGAAGAAGGATTTGAGCTTGGCTTAAAAGCTGGTCAGATGTCAGTTGGCAAAGGCATTGAAGGTAATCAGAACATTATGGACAAAGGTACACAGACAAGGAGCAGGATGTATCTGGGGGCAATGGGAATGTGTATGCAACATAAAAACCAACCAGGAGAGAGTGCCGAAAAAGGGATTGGGTGGTGGGGTATCCCCAGTCAGGCTGAGAGAGGTAAAAGAGGGTGATGACTAAGAATAATCCATTGGAACATTTCCAATGGTGGGAGCAGGAGGCAGAATCCATACCTCATGGATTAAGAAGGAAATGGACAGATAGAAAATCAAGGCATCAAATGTAGCCCATATGTTTGAGGGGATTGCCAGGGGAAAAAAGGAGGAGAAAAATATTTCTAGCAGCATTTTCTTGTTTTAGCAAACACAATGTTATTTTGGACACAAAACGGGTCCCCATTCTTTGGGGAGTTGCTGAACAAGCAGTAGCATAAATGAATGTCATGTGATACTGTATTTTAAGAAATATCAAATATGAAGAATTCAAAGAAATGTGGGAAGACTGGTAGGAACTGCTGCAGAATGAAATAAGCAGAACCAAGAGAATATACAAAAGGCCACAATAATGTGAGGAAAGGCAACACTAAAAGAACTCAGATCTTGACTCCAGACATACCCCCTTCTTCCTAGTAGAGAGGTACCAAATAAGTCTTATTCTGTCAAATATGGCTAGTGGGTTAGTTTGGTTTGCTTAACTGTACTTCTGTTACATGGCAGTGTTCTATTGGTAATGGGTAGAGCTTATTGGTAAATCATAGCAATATTTAAGAAATCAATATCAAAATATTTAGAAACAAATGAAAGGCTAAGTTAGATTACTATGAATGTCTGAAGTTATGCGAGTTTCTAGACACGGTTTCTCATTGGTGTAGTGAGTGGAAACAGAACAGCCAAGCTATCCCACCAGAAGGAGAAATTATCAAGAAATCCAAGAAGAAATGACAATAACCATGTTTTTCTTGTCCAAATACATCTAAAGAGACACTCAAAAGCCTATGGGCACCACTAGGCAAGGGGTCCAGCTGAAAAACCCAGCTTGTAAGCCCAGTGCACAAACTGGGTAAACCTGGAAACTGCAGCTGCATATCATGGCATCAAGAGAAGGGATCCAGACACAAAATCCTAGGCTAAGAGCACAGCCCATAGAAACCTCCAACCATGTAGACCAGGGGCAAGCCATAGAAACCTGGAACCTATAGCTTGATGCCCTGGGTCAGAGGGTGGACCGGGGATAAGGCAGAGGCACTTGAGGTCTGTATATGTGTTGCTTGGAACCCAGAAAAGAGTCATGAGACAGCAAAGCTCAGACCAGATGGGCAGAGATCAGGCCATGCCCTATATTAGACTGTGCACTAAGGGTTCTAAACATTGGCATCTCACTGGCCTGAATTGTCTCTGAGATCCATGAGGAACACAGTGCTCAGTTCTCAGTGGAAGCAGTGAAGACCCAAGATAATACAGATTAAGACCAAACAAGGCCTCACTATCCCTTCTCTAAGTGTGTAGGACCTGGCTCTAGCAAAAAGTCCCAATTCAGGAAGGCACTAGGCTAGAATAAGGCAGAAAATGAGTAAACAAAAGAAGAAAGAAATGATAAAGAAATACTATGAATTCACTGATGCCCCAAGACACAAATCCAGAAGAGAAAAATGTCATGGCATCTACAAGAAATTCCTCAAACAAAAACACTTAGCCCCAACATCTAAAACTCATGGAAAAAAATGAAGCAAGAGTTTTAAAATATTTAGAATGATATTTAAAAAAATAGGCACTCTAGAGAAAAGAATTGGAAGGAGAATATACAACTTAGTAAGGATGTTTAAAATCCTATCCAAATGATAGCACCCTGAAAATTAGAGTAAACCAAATAGAAATAAGTGATTCCATGAGACAAAAAGAAATAATAGTACCAAATCAAAAGACTAAAAAAATGAGGAAAAATATGAGGTATCTCCTATTAATAATTCTGACCTGGATAAGAAGTAAAGGAAAAAATAATCTAAGACTCATTGTTCTACTTGAGAAAGATTTTTTTGTTAAAGCTTATTCCTGATGAAAATACCAGAACTAAGTAGATACTTTGAAATGCAAACAGAAGATTCAAGAGAAGCATAGAAAGCTAAATACATTTAAATAATTGAAAGGGACTATACAATGATGAAGTGTTTACATTCCAATAAGGAGGTAAGAAACAAATGTCCCCTCCGAACCCTAATGTCTTCAAGGGTCATAGAGGGAGTTAATTAAGACAGATGCCCTGGGATTTGATGAACTTAATAGATAGAAAAAAAGGGAGGTAAAATGAAATACACTAGAGGACAAAAGGGATGGAATTTACTTTCTCACTTATTTGGAGCATATAAAAAGAAGGCTACAGAAACCTAAAGGAAGATTGATACAATGATCCAAGACAGTTTCAAAGGACTCATGATGAAAAAATGCCACCCACCTCTAGAGAGAAAACTGATGAACTCTGAGTGCAACTTGAAGTATGATTTTCTCACTTTTTAATTTTTCTTTTTAAAAAAAGATGGCTAATATGGAAATATGTTTTGCATGATTTCAATGTATAATTGATATCATGTTGCTTACCTTCTTAGTGGGCGGAGGAGGAGGTGGGAGGGATGGAGAGAATTTGGAACTCAAAATTTAAAAAGAAAAGAATGTCAAAATAAATAAATAAAAGGTAAAAAAAAAAAAGAAACCTAGAGGAAGCAGTGGGAGGACACAGGCATCCCATGAACCTCACTTTCCTCTGAACTGAACATACATATGCACATGCACACACTAACATGAATGCATCAAGAGTTTGGTAGAGAAATATATTAAACTTGATAGAGAGACAGATAGAAACAGGGAGAGGGAGGATTAAGAGAGAGAATAGAGTCAGGGAGGGATTAGTCATAAGCAAAACTAATTCTAAATTTGAAAGGTAGAGCATGAGGCAGTGATTTAAAGGAAAGAGAGGGTAAGAGCCTGTCATCAGGGACTGGGTGATGGGGAAGAGAATAGGGGCAGTGGACTGGAAGCAGAGTGTATTAATTATAGATCACCAGTGTTAGTTGAGCACACTTCTGTAATCACCCTTTTCTTTGTAAATGATACGGAAGGCAGTTGGGGAGGAAGGGAGAAATGAAATAAACAATTAACAATCATAATCGTGGACATAAATAAGTTGAGCTCTGCTATAAAAAGGAGGTAAGTAGCAGTATGGATTGGAAAACGTAACCCATCAAAATATTGTTTACAAGAAACAGTATATTATTTACATAGTTGAAACATAAAAATTCACACAAAATTAAAATAAGATACTGGAGTATAATCTATTATGCTTCAGGTGAATTCAAAAAGCAGTATGATCAATCATGATATCTGAAAAAAGAAAGAGTAAAAATGACTTTATTAAAAGAAATAAATCAGGAAACTATTCTATGCTTAAAGGTACCATAGACCATAAATTAATACCAATATTTAATATACATATACCAAATTTATAGCATTGAAATACTTAAAGGAAAAAATAATTTATAGGAAGAAATAGGCAGAAAATCTATAATAGTTGGGGATCTCAATATGCCCCTTTCAGACCTAGACAAATCTAACGAAAGTGAAAGAAGGTAGCAGTTAAAGACCTGGATAGAATTTTAGGAAAGTAAGAAATAATAGATTGCTGTTGATAACTGAATGGAAAAGGAAAGGAGTAAACACATTTCTAAGCTGTGTATGTCACCTTTGTAAAATATGCCCACGTATTAGGGCATAAAACTTCATAAACAAAGGTGGCAGAAAAGCAGAAATATTAAACGTGTCCTTTACTGATGACAGTTCAATAAAAGAGTATGTTCAATAAAGGTTCTTTAAAGAAAGGATTAAATATTAATTGGAGAATGAACAACCTAATAAGGAATTAAAGAATTTGTAAGTCAAAGAACAAATCACAGAAGAAACAGACAATTTCATCAAAGAAAATTACAATGAGACAATATGCCAAAACTTTTTGAATGCAGCTAAAGCAGTCCTTAGGGGAAAATGCATATCTCTAAACACTTTCATTCAGTAAAAGAAAGAAATAAAAGATAAATTAATTGGGCATATAACTAAAAAACACCTAGAAAAGCAATAAATCAAATCCCCCAACTAAACACCAAAATAAAAGTTGAAAATCAAAAAAGAGATTAAAAATTAAAAGAAAAAAGTGATTTTCATTAATAAAACCAAAAGGTGGCCAAAAAATAAACCATTAGCTAGTCTGCTTTTCTAAAAAGAAAATGGAAAGCCAAATTACCCATACCAAAACTGAAAAACAAGAATTCACAACAAATGAGGAAGAAATAAAGGAAATCATTACAAACTAATTTTGCCCAATTACATGACAAGAGAAAAAACTTAAAAAGATATTTATAAAAAATATGAAATACCCAGATTAACAGAACAAGAAATTTAAGGAATTCAAATAACTGGGGGGGAGAGAAATATTTAACTTGCCATAAATCACCTCCCAAACAGGGAAAAATTCAGAATCAGATGGATTTACAAATGAATTCTATCAAATAGCAAGGAACAATTGATTCCAACATTACATAAACTATAAAAATAGGTAAAGAAAGGATCTTACCAAATGTCTTCAATGATATAAATATAGTCTTGATAACTGAACCTGGGAAAGACAAGACATAGAAAGAAAACTGTAGACCAAAGGTATGTTGGTAAATGTTTAACAACTGGATCACTAGAAAAAAAAAAGTAATTTGTAACATACTTTAAAATCTAACACGCTTTTAAGTTTAATTTGCATAAGAATATTTCCTCTATGACTATCTCAAGTCTAGTCTATAAAAAAAAAAACCAAACAAATCAAGCCCTGATTTATGCATTCACTCATTTCCAAGGTATAAATGCTCACACTGAAGATCACATGCTAGCTCGGGTGTGCCTTGCTGTAGACCAATATGCCTAATGAATTTTGAAGCAACATTTTAAAACAAAATATTAGCAATGAGCCTATATCAAAAAGATTATACATTATGACCAGGTTAGATTTTTACTGGGAATGCAGGATTGGTTCACTATTAGGAAAATTAGAAACATTATAGGCTACATTAATAATAATAAAACACAAGTTATATCAATGTATGTAACAAAAGCTTTTAATAAAACTCAAGTCATTACTGTTAAAAATGTTTTAAAGGATAGCAATAAACAGACCTATCCTTAACATGATAAATAGTATCTAAAACTAAGAGCCAGCATTATATGTAATGGAGAATTGCTAGAGACCTTTCCAGTAAGATTAGAAGTAAATCAAGGATGTCAATTGTCATCACTATTATTTGACATAGTTCTAGAAATGCTAGCCATAAAATAAGACAAATTCAAGAAACTGATGGGAAAAGCATAGGCAAAGAGGAAACAAAATATGATGTCCTTAAAGAACCCTAGAGCATTAATAAAGAAACTAACTGAAACAATAAATTCAGCAAACTGGAAGGATATAAATAAACCCACACAAATTGTCAGTCTTACTGTATATTACCATCAAAATCCAGCATTAAGAAAGAGAAATTCCATTCAAAATAATCACAGAATACATAAAATATTTGGGAGTCCACCCACCAAGGCATGTATAGGAACTATACAAAACAACTACAAAGCATTTTATACAGAAATAAAGACAGACCTAAATAATTGGAGAATAGATGGAAGGTAATCTCAGAGTGGTACTAGCAATAATACTGCTCCTCAAGAAAAGAAAGGAGGGCCATTGAAGCATTTAAAAGAAAATACACAGAAGAGAAATAAAAGAACTTCAGGAGGAAACAAAGACAAACAGGACAGTTTTGAAAGTAACATGATGAATATATATATATATATATATATATATATATATATATATATATATATGTATGTATATATAAATTTTACATACAATTTTTTAAAAATTAAGCTATGTGCAATAGATTTGTGGATTCACATATAATCATTTTCCCATTTTACTGTGTAAATGAAATTTTTTTTTCTTTTGGTGTTAAACGTATAATATAAAAAAAAAAAAGAATAGAAATTTAAAACCCAGTGGAAGTAGGCAGTTCAAATAGTGACTCCCATTTTAACAGATAAGGAAACTGAGGTCAGAGAAGTTAATTGGCTTGCCCAGGTTGACACAGTTGATAAGTGGCTGTCAGAAGTGGGCCTTGTGCCCATTTCTCCTGATTCCAAGTCCAATGTTATTTCAGCTATGCCACCTTACCTCCTGGCATTGCCCAATGGGAGTTAGGAAGCTCCTAGGAGGAATTTGAAGAGACAAATTCCAGACAAACATAAGGAAAACAAACCTCTAATAATGGAAGGTATCAAAAAGTTGAGTGAGTTGCCTTGGGCTTTGGTTTAGCTGAAGAAGGTCTCACTAGATATCTTCAAACAGGGCTGGGTAAAAAAGGAGGGCTACATATGCTGTAATGATAATAATAATAAAAGCTCCAGTTTCCTTAGTGTTTTAAGATATACAAACCGCTTTCCTCACATTAAACCTGTGGAGTAGGTGGTGAATTCTTATTATTCCCATTTTTCTGATGTGGAAACTGAGGCTCAGAACAGTATCGTAATTAAAAGCCAGGAATTTCTCCATAGAGCAGGTAAAAAAAAAATTTTTTTTAAGCTGATGCTCCTGATTGTTTCCTCTGTGTTGGAAATGACTTTTCCAGCTTCAGACTTTTCCTGTGAGCATTTTCTTCACACTTGATCCCCATTGATTTCTCACCATTTCTGGCGGAAGCTGAAAGGGCAGTACAATTGGGACAGGTTTCCTTATTGTTCTTTGCATTGCCATGGGAAAAAAAAAAACAGCCCCAAACAAGCCTGTTCTCTTTCAATAACAGCCTTTCCTGAAAGCTTTTCATTCTCCTTCTCTACCACAGCCATCTTTTTGGTTGGGGGCAGGGTAGGGTTATGGTGTCAAGTTTACAAATTTATTTTTAAATTTCTAGCTGAAAAGAGATTTTTATGTATCTTGCCGAGTCAAAGAATGGTAGAGTTGGAAGGTACTTTTGGGATCTGGAAGGACCTTAGGGGTCATCTAGTAACGCCTTGGTGAGTCAGCAGTTTCTGTGTTTAGAAAGGCAGTTCTATTCCTTAGAGGAGGAAACTGAGGCCCAGACAGAGGATGGGATTTGCCTGGGGTAACACAGCAACAATCCAGGTCTCTTGATAGTCCAGAGTTTGTTCCTCTACACTGATTACCAGCATACCTTGCTCACCTTCATTAATTTGCTTCATAAAAATATATCATTAGGTGAGATGATGTTATTGGAGGCTGTTCCATAGGAACAGAGAAAGGGCAGTGTCTGAACCACCACAGGAGGTGAATGAGGAGAATGTGCTGGGCCAGCAGGGGACAGGGCATTCTTCACTAAAGGAGAAATGAACTGGGCTTGGCTTAGGTAGCTGTCATTACATTAAAAGACAGGTTGGGGACATTACAGTGAGATAACATTAATTGGGACAATGTAATATTGTGTGTTCTCAAATAATAGGCAGCTTGGTGGTGCCAGAGTACACCATGTGCTGGGCCTGGAGCCAGGAAGGCCTGCGTTCAAATCCAGCCTCAGATTGTTACTATCTGTGTGACCTTGGGCAAGTCACTTAACCTGTGTTTGCCTCAATTTCCTCAATTGTAAAGTAGGGAAAATAACAGCACTTACATCTCAGGGTTCTTGTTAGGTTCAAATGGGATGATTTTTGTAGAGCACTTAGCACAGTGTTGTTGTTGTTGTTGTTGTTGTTGTTGTTGTTGTCGTTGTTGTTTAGTCCTTCAGTCATATCTGACTTGTCATGACCCAGTGGACAAAAGCACACCAAGCCCTTTGATCCTCCACTATCTCCCAAAGTCTGTCCAAGCTTGTATTCACATAGTAGGTACCATATAAATCCTTATTCCTTTACCCTCTTCCCACCCTGTGCCTCCAATACAATGTTCAGGCTAAAGGTGGATTGCAGAATTTTTTAGTCATCTTATTTACTAAACCATGTCAATTGCATTTACATGTACAATTGCTTTGTATTTAGTATTTGCTATCCTGTGCTCCACATGTTATATCCCCTACTAGGTTATAATTGGCTTGAAGACAGAGCCCATTTTTTGCTCTTATGTCTTTATTCCTAGTACCTAGCAGAGTCCCTGGTGCATAGAAAGTAATAAATGTTTGTTGAATCAAATTAGTAGTGTGGTTCAATGGAATGAGCTCTAGCTTTGAGGTCAAAAGAACTGGGTTTGAATTCTAGCTCCCCTATTTACTACCCACATTACTGTGAGCCAGTCAACCTTTCTGGGTCTCATTTTCTTCACTTGTAAAATGGGGTCAGTCTACAGGATGTCTAAAGTCATTTCTGTAAGCAGAATTTGAACTCAGATCTTCCTGGTTCCAAGTTTAGCACCTTGTATACTATGCCATAGTTGTTTCTTTCTCCCTCTATAGTCCAATTCCCTCATTTTCATATGAGAAAACTGAGTCCCAAAGGAGGGAAGGAGACTTCCCCAAGGTCATGCAAGTTGGTGGCAGAGCTGGGAATCTGAATGCAGGTCCTCTGGCTCTAGCTTTCTTTCTGTATTACATCATCTTCCTCTTCAAGGTATAGAGATATTATGTAACATGTAGGATAATAGGATAATGTCTTTGATTGTGTTTCAAGTATCCTTTTTGATGATGTCCAATGTTGTATCAGCTATTTAAATCAGAGCAAGATATTGGACAACTTCTCATGGCTCCTGGGTCCCTTGTTTGGGTCATAAATGATAGCTCACAGGCATTTGTTTCACATGTACATGTTGATTTCATAATCTGTTCGTGTGTTCCCTCATACTGCCCCATGATAAACCTTAGCTCAACCAATCAGCAACCATTTATTAAGTACTTACTGTGTGTCAGGGGATGGAAAAACAAAACAAGACTGCATGCCTCCACAGAGCTTACATTATATAAAGGGAGACAACATGTAGGTATATACATAATAAATGCAAGGCCCCATCTTTAAGAGGCATTGGCAGCCGGGTAAAATCTGGAACATCTAAGTTAAGTCCTGAAAGAAATGAAGGATGTGATTAAGAAGCCACTATGAGGACAGAAGGCCTCCCACACATGAAAGACTAGTACCAAACATAGTGGCCCAGGGTGGAGTATCTGCCAGGGACAAAGAATAGTAAAAAGCCACACACTTTCTTTGCCTGCTTGAAGATCTGACCATAGTCTACCTCTCCCAGATCAGTGCTTCACTTCTTAGACAAGCTGAGCCTTAGCAGCAAGCTTGCAGATTTCCCCAGCCCAATTCTAGCAGTACCATTCACTACTCCACCTCATCATCCAGAATTACTTTTTTTTTTTGTCCTGGCCCTTTTTTTCCTGTTTTGTTTTGTGTTTTAAGCCAGTTACCCAATCTGGTGGTGGTTATAACCTCTGAAAATCGACACAAAAATCCAAAGCTTCCTCCCATGTGAGGTAGCCGCATGAGGTCACCCCTCTCTTTTTGGGCTCCCTTATTTACTGACTGCCAGTTGTTACTCAAGCAGGTACAGCTGTACCATCTGGACTCCTGCCAGGCAGCTTATTGTTTTTTGCTATTGTTATTATTTTTGTTCATTGTCAGATACTTTAAATTTTTTTTATT